ACAACAGACTTTATTTCAAGTGCCCCACCCAAAATAACTACAACTGCCGCTTCAGTTACAACTACAACAGCACCAGCTGGGACAACAACCACTGCAGAGAGATCCAGCACATCAGCTCACACAACAACCCTGCCATCATCAACAACAACCACTACAGAAACAACGACTGCAGAAGCAGCAGCACCAACTACAGAACTTATTACAACTTCACCAGTCCCAATAACTACAACTGCAGTGTCATTGTCAACCTCAACTGAATTAGCAACCAGTGTCGAGACAAGTAGCACATCAGTTCAAACGACAATAACATCAGCAACAACAACCATTCCACAAACAGCTACCACACCAGTAGCAATAAACACAACATTGTCACCAACAACAACAACAACAGACGTTATTTCAAGTGCACCACCCCAAATAACTACAACTGCAGCTTCAGTTACAACTACAACAGCACCAGCTGGGACAACAACCACTGCAGAGAGATCCAGCACATCAGCTCACACAACAACCCTGCCAACATCAACAACAACCAGTCCAGAAACAACGACCGCAGAAGCAGCAGCAACAGTTACAGAAATTATTACAACTTCACCAGTCCCAATAACTACAACTGCGGTGTCATTGTCAACCTCATCTGAATTAGCAACCAGTGTCGAGACAAGTAGCACATCAGTTCAAACGACAACAACAAAATTAGCAACAACACCCATTGCAGACACACTTACCACAGCAGCAGCAACAGCTACAGAAATTATTACAACTTCACCAGTCCCAATAACTACAACTGCAGCTCAATTTTCAACCTCAACTGTACTAGCTGAATCAGCAACTAGGGTTGAGACAAGTAGCACATCAGTTCAAACGACAACAACAAAATTAGCAACAACACCCATTGCAGACACACTTCCCACAGCAGCAGCAACAGCTACAACATTATCAGCAACAACAACAACAGAAGGTATTACAAATACACCACTCCCAATAACTACAACTGCAGCTTCAGCTACAACTACAACAGCACCAGCTGGGACAACACCCACTGCAGAGAGATCCAGCACATCACCCCCCAAACCACCCCTGCCAACATCAACAACAACCACTACAGAAACAACGACCGCAGAAGCAGCAGCAACAGTTACAGAAATTATTACAACTTCACCAGTCCCAATAACTACAACTGCAGCTTCAGCTACAACTACAACAGCACCAGCTGGGACATCAACCACTGCAGAGAGATCCAGCACATCAGCCCACCCAACACCCCTGCCAACATCAACAACAACCACTACAGAAACAACGACCGCAGAAGCAGCAGCAACAGCTACAGAAATTATTACAACTTCACCAGTCCCAATAACTACAACTGCGGTGTCATTGTCAACCTCATCTGAATTAGCAACCAGTGTCGAGACAAGTAGCACATCAGTTCAAACGACAACAACAGAATTAGCAACAACAACCATTGCAGACCCTCTTACCACAGCAGCCGCAACAGCTACAACATTATCTTATTACAAATACACCACTCCCAATAACTACAACTGCAGTGTCATTGTCAACCTCAACGGAATTAGCAACCAGTGTAGAGACAAGTAGCACATCAGTTCAAACGACAACAACAGAATTAGCAACAACAACCATTGCAGACACACTTACCACAGCAGCAGCAACAGCTACAACATTATCAGCAACAACAACCACAGAAGTTATTACAAATACACCACTCCCAATAACTACAACTGCAGCTCAATTTTCAACCTCAACTCTACTACCTGAATCAGCGACCAGTGTCGAGACAAGTAACACCTCTGCTCAAACAACAATAACACAATCAGCGACAACAACCACTACAGAAACAATGACCACACAAGCAGCAATAACCACATCATTGTCACTAAGAACAACAACAACAGACATTATTTCAAGTGGACCAGCCCAAACAACTACAACTGCATCTCTAGTTACAACTACGACAGTGCCAGCTGGGACAACAACCAATGTAGCAACAACAAGCACATCAGCTCAAACAATGACCCTGCCGTCATCAGCAACAACCATTCCAGAAACAACAACCACACAAGCAGCAACAATTACAACAATATCAGCAACAACAACCACAGAAGTTATTACAAACACACCATTCCCCATAACTACAGCTGCAGGACAATTTTCAACTGTACTAGCTGAATCAGCAACTAGGGTTGAGACAAGTAGCACATCAGCTCAAACAGCAACAACACAAATACCGACAACAAGTATTCCAGAAACAACCACACCAGTAGCAATAACCACAACATTGTCACCAACAACAACAGACATTATTTCAAGTGCACCAGCCCAAATAACTACAACTGCAGCTTCAGTTACAACAGTACTGGCTAGGACAACAACCGCTGCAGAGACAACAAACACATCTGCTCAAACAACAACCATTCCAGACAGAACAACCACACAAGCAGCACCAACTACAGCATTATCAGCAACAATCACAGAGATTATTACAAATTCACCAGTCCCAGTAATTACAACTACACCTGTAGTTACAACTACAACAGCACCAGCTGGGACAACAACCAATGTAGCGACAACAAGCACATCAGCTCAAACAATGACCCTGCCATCATCAACAACAACCATCCCAGAAACAACAACCACACAAGCAGGAACAACTACAACATTATCAGCAACAACAACCACAGAAGTTATTACAAACACACCACTCCCAATAACTACAGCTGCAGCACAATTTCCAACCTCAACTCTACTAGTTGAATCAGCAACTAGTGTCGAGACAAGTAGCACATCAGCTCAAACAGCAACAACACAAATACCGACAACAATCATTCCAGAAACAACCACACCAATAGCAATAACCACAACATTGTCACCAACAACAACAGACATTATTTCAAGTGCACCAGCCCAAATAACTACAACTGCAGCTTCAGTTACAACAGTACTGGCTAGGACAACAACCGCTGCAGAGACAACAAACACATCTGCTCAAACAACAACCATTCCAGACAGAACAACCACACAAGCAGCACCAACTACAGCATTATCAGCAACAATCACAGAGATTATTACAAATTCACCAGTCCCAGTAATTACAACTACACCTGTAGTTACAACTACAACAGCACCAGCTGGGACAACAACCAATGTAGCGACAACAAGCACATCAGCTCAAACAATGACCCTGCCATCATCAACAACAACCATCCCAGAAACAACAACCACACAAGCAGGAACAACTACAACATTATCAGCAACAACAACCACAGAAGTTATTACAAACACACCACTCCCAATAACTACAGCTGCAGCACAATTTCCAACCTCAACTCTACTAGTTGAATCAGCAACTAGTGTCGAGACAAGTAGCACATCAGCTCAAACAGCAACAACACAAATACCGACAACAATCATTCCAGAAACAACCACACCAATAGCAATAACCACAACATTGTCACCAACAACAACAGAC